CTCTCAAGGATATCTTGACATATTTTATATTCAAGGATCATAGCCGTTCTATGCAATAAATTGTTTCATCTCCCTTTATATTTATTAACCAAAACCGACCACTTTCTACATATCTAAGATTTAATCTTTGTTAAATGTATATATACACTGCATATAAATAAAGGAAAAAGGAAAATACATAAGAATATGGGGTAAAATACAGTATGTCAGGATATGATACTTAAATTATGTTGAGTAGATCAGCAGATCAGAAGCAGCCGTACCAAGAAGTGTGGGCTAGTATGAGGTATGTGAACATGTTGAGTGGGTCAGAAGCAGTCGTGCCAAGAAGGGTGGGCTTGTATAAGGAATGTGAACAAAGTGGTCTCCTGTGCTAAGGATATTTATGTTTAGTTTACATATAGACTGTTAAATATTTTGAGCTGATGGAGATTTGTCGTTCGCTAATGGCAAAAGTTGTTCTGTTAACTAAGAATGTCAGTTTCCTTAAAGACAAGTGGAAAAGCGTCAGTATAAAATCCTGAAGACGACCGAGAAGTAGAAAAATGTTCTTGGTGGTACAATATCACATGCCTGCTCTGTACTGTTGTTCCTGGTGGTACAATATCACATGCCTGCTCTGTACTGTTGTTCCTGGTGGTACAATATCACATGCCTGCACTGCACTGTTGTTCTTGGTGGTACAATGTCTTATGCCTGCACTGCACTGTACTGTTATTCCTGGTGGTACAATATCACGATCACACTGAACCGTTGTTCCTGGTGGCACAATATCACATGCCAACACTGTTGTGCCTGGTGGTACAATGTCAAATGCCAGCACTGCACTGGCTGGTGTCCTTGGTGTTACAATGTCACAAGTGTGCACTACACTGTTGTTCGTAGAGTACAGCATCATATGACTGGAGTGCACTGTTGTTCCTGGTGTTATGGAACAAAATCAAAATCAAATGCCTGCACTGCCCGGTTGTTCCTAGTAGTAGGGATGACATGCCAGCGGCCCCTTTTTTGGGGGGTGGGAAGGGTCCGCTGGCGTGTCGGGTTTCCTTATAAATTTCCGATTTGGAGTTAAAGAATTCTTATGAGGAAAATAATTTCATAGAAGTTTGTTGAGAGTTCTTATGGGAGAAATTCAAAATTTTTCAGTGACAAGTTGTTTAAAAATATTTCAGAGTTCATATAATCATAGGAGTTTATTTACGAGTTTATGACTGAAATTTGTAAAAAGACCATTTTCAGAGAATATGTTCATAGAAGTTTTGTTAAGGAAAATAGACTGCATACCTATGACTTTTAGTATTTATATCCTTTTACAACTATTTCACCTGTAAAAGACCGAAAATTATTCAGAAATGATTTTAAGACCGATTTTCAACAGAGACCTTCTAAGACCTAAAATAGCCAGAGTCCAGTAAAACACCGAAAATTTGTGAGAGATTATTCTAGACTAAAATATGTCAGAGACCATTTAAGACCAAAATTATTCAATGACTATATAAGACCAAAAAGAGACAGAGATTATTTTAGACCCATAAAAAGTGTCTAGTAAAAAAACTAAATTGTTCAGAGTCCAGTAGAAATCCGAAAATTAGTCATATAAGGTAGTCCAGTTTATGATCAAATTAGTCAGAGACAGTTTAAGCCCAAAAGTTAAGAGTGTCCACTTCAAGACCTAAATTGAACAGAGTCCACTTTAAGAGCAAAATTAAACAGAGTCCAGTTCATGACCGAAATTCGTTCACTTTGAGACCAAAATATTTCAGAGTTTTACTTACACCTGAGTTCTTAAAGAGTTCTTATGGAGGAAAGTCAAATATTATCAGAGTCTAGTTGAGACAAAAAAAAAAAAAAAAAATTGACAGAGACCATTTTAAGACCAAATTTGTTAGACACCGCATTTATAAGGATAGTTTCGCTACTAAGAGCCCAATTTTAGCCATATTTCAGACATAGTAAATAAAATATAGTCAGAAATCAAGTTCTAGCTCATGTCCCCGCCTTACATTACCCCACAACATCCTTACTAACAGTCCGATCCCCCTGAAATTTTAAACTTTCATATTTCAAACGTAGTACAATAAATCCAAATAATTACCGAACTCCAGCTCTTGTCCTCAGCCTTAGTTCCCTCTCATATCTTCGTTAATAACCCATAAATTTTCCTGAAATTTAAACCCACTGTATTTCAGACAGTAAATAAGATCAAGTCAGTTACTGAGCTCCAGCTCCTGTCCCCCACCTTAACCCTTTCTTATATCTTCGTTAGTAACAGATCAATTTCCCTGAAATTCAAACCCTCTGTATTTCAGAAATAGTAAAATAAATCCAAATAATTACCGAGCTCCAGCTCTTGTCCTCATCGTAGTCACTTGTCGTAGATTCAATACTAACAGTCCAATTTCCCTGAAATTTAACACAATTTCAGATATAGTAAATAAGATCCAAACAACTACCGAACTCTAGCTCCTGTTCCCACCTTAAACCTCTCTTATATCTTCGTTAATACTTGAACAATATCCCTAAAATTTTAAAACAGTCATATTTCAAACATAGTAAAATAAAGCTCCAACTCTTGTCCAACACCTTAGTTCCCTCTTGTATCTTCTTTAGTATCTAACCAAACCCCTTAAAATTTAAAACATAGCTATTTCAGATTTAGTAAATAAGGCCAATTCAGTTACCAAGTTTCAGCTTCTTTTGTCCCCCTGCCTTATTTCTCTTCTGTGAGATAATTACTATCACTCCAAAGCCCCTGATATTTAAAACCCCACTACATTTCAGACCCCTGCAAAATATATCAAAAGCAAATTACCGAACTCCAACTCTTGTCCTCCTCCTTAGTTCATTAAACATAAATATTTCAGATCAAGGCCTCTCCAGTCTATAAAAAGTAAACATCATTTCTTTTAATACCCTTTTTTAACCCAGCTATGTAGATAATCACTAACGTGATAATATTCACACGGTCAGATCGCACCCTACCTTCAATACCTTTTGTTTACTAACCACTGTGCTGCGCCAACCACGAAATCTCGTTATGAGAGTTGTACTTTTTTTTAGGCTATATTTTAATGTTTTTTAATGTTTTCATCACTCTTTGTGTTTTGAAATGAAAATGGTTATGTTTGGAAACATTTTGACAATAACTTTACCTGAATATTTATAAAAACAATAAAAATATCCTTAACAATTGCACTATGAAGTTTTTGCCAAAAACAGGTGCGCAGTGCGGGGGCTAAACTAAGCAATAATCACATGGTCAGATATCACACCTTACCCTTTATGTCCCTTACCTTCGCATCCATTTCCTCCTCCGCCCCTTACCCCCTTACCTTCCCCAACTCCCTTTCGCCTTTATCTCCCATCTCCCCTTACCTCCCTCCCCTAATTTTCCCCTTCCCTTACCTCCCCCTACTCCCCCTTCACCTCTCCAGCACCCCCATACTCCCCCTTCATCTCGCCCATTCCCCAACTTCACCCAAACCTACCTCCCTCCCTCCAAAGAATTTAAAGAAATACAACTGTTATACTCATTATTCATGTTCTCCATGTTCTTTGTCATATTCACCATGTTCTTAGCATATTCTTCACAAGTTCATTGTTCATTCTTCACATTCTCTGTTCTTTGTCATGTTTTTCATGTTCTCTGCAAGTTCATATTCCTCACATGTTCACTGTGTTCGTCAGCTTTTCTTACATGTTCTCTGTGTTCTTTGTCAGGTTCTCCGTATGTTCACTGTGTTCAACGCATTCTCTTACATGTTCTCATAATGTTCTTAGCATGTTCTTCACAAGTTCGTCAGCATTTCTTACATGTTCTCTGTGGTCTTTGTCAGGGCCTCCGTATGTTCACTATGTTCAACGCATTCTCTTACATGTTCTCATGATATCCTTAGCATGTTCTTCACAAGTTCATCACCTCACATGTTTTCTGTGTTCTTTGACATATTCTCCCACAGGTTCTCTATGTTCTTTGTCATGTTCTCATACTGTTCTTAGCATGTTTTTCACAAGTTCATCACCTTCTCCCATATGTTCTGCAAAATGTTCACAGCATGTTCAGTTAATTTTTCCTGCATGTTCACTGTGTTCATCTCTTTCCCTTACACTTTATATGTATTCTTTGTCATTTCCCCGTATGTTTACTATGTTCAACGCATTTTCTTACATGTTTTTTAAAATAAAATGTTCCACGACAAACTTTTCTTGTTGTTTTAACTAAAATATTCGTCCATCAACTAAAAATAGTCCGAATAAACCTCGTTCACCACAATTCATAGCTAACTTTATCCATCGTCATTCAACTAAAAATAAACAGTAGTACACTTACATCACATCAGGCTTGGATACCCATGTGCATGGGAAATAGACTTACAGGTTCCGGAAGATGAGAGGAAATGTCAACACTGTGGAGAAATGCCCGACAGACCACTGGAACATTATCTAACATAGTGCACAGTTACAAACCCATTAAGATTTCAACATTGATTCAGCATAGCAGAGGAAGTTGTTAAACACATATGGCAAAATCTTACTGAAGCGACCATACGAGTAATAAATACTCATACTTCGCTCAAGGAAAACAGAAACAAGCAACACTTAGTTGACCAGCCAGAGGCTTAGGGCCCGCGCAGGAATATCCCTGCAAAAAAAAAAAATAGTCTTGTTCATCATTTCTTAACAGCCATTATGTTTTGTCAAGTAAGAAAAAATAAGCAAAGATATCTTTTCATCGCTGTTCTTAACTAAAATTATTCTCCCACTAACTGAAAATAGTCAAGTATAGCTTCGATCCACACTCTCGTAACTAAAATTATGTGTCGTTAAGTAAGAAAAGTAGTCAAGGACACAATAAAAAATATCAAAGACATTCTTCGAGACTTCAAAGACACAGTCATAGACACCAAGGACACAGTCAGACACCAAGGACACAGTCAGACACCAAGGACACAGTCAGACACCAAGGACACAGTCAGACACCAAGGACACAGTCAGACACCATGGACACAGTCAGACACCAAGGACACAGTCATAGACACCAAGGACACAGTCAGACACCAAGGACACAGTCAGACACCAAGGACACAGTCATAGACACCAAGGACACAGTCAGACACCAAGGACACAGTCATAGACACCAAGGACACAGTCAGACACCAAGAACACAGTCAGACACCATGGACACAGTCAGAGACACCAAGGACACAGTCAGAGACACCAAGGACACAGTCAGAGACCAAGGACACAGTCAGACACCAAGGACACAGTCAGACACCAAGAACACAGTCAGAGACACCAAGGACACAGTCAGACACCAAGAACACAGTCAGACACCATGGACACAGTCAGAGACACCAAGGACACAGTCAGAGACACCAAGGACACAGTCAGAGACCAAGGACACAGTCAGACACCAAGGACACAGTCAGACACCAAGAACACAGTCAGACACCAAGGACACAGTCAGAGACACCAAGGACACAGTCAGACACCAAGAACACAGTCAGACACCATGGACACAGTCAGAGACACCAAGGACACAGTCAGAGACACCAAGGACACAGTCAGAGACACCAAGGACACAGTCAGAGACACCAAGGATACAGTCAGAGACACCAAGGACAAGTCAGAGACACCAAGGACACAGTCAGAGACACCAAGGACACAGTCAGAGACACCAAGGACACAGCCAGACACCAAGGACACAGTCAGACACCAAGGACACAGTCAGACACCAAGGACACAGTCAGACACCAAGGACACAGTCAGACACCAAGGACACAGTCAGAGACACCAAGGACACAGTCAGAGACACCAAGGACACAGTCAGAGACACCAAGGACACAGTCAGAGACACCAAGGACACAGCCAGACACCAAGGACACAGTCAGACACCAAGGACACAGTCAGACACCAAGGACACAGTCAGACACCAAGGACACAGTCAGACACCAAGGACACAGTCAGACACCAAGGACACAGTCAGACACCAAGGACACAGTCAGAGACACCAAGGACACAGTCAGAGACACCAAGGACACAGTCAGAGACACCAAGGACACAGTCAGAGACACCAAGGACACAGACAGACACCAAGGACACAGTCAGACACCAAGGACACAGTCAGACACCAAGGACACAGTCAGACACCAAGGACACAGTCAGACACCAAGGACACAGTCAGACACCAAGGACACAGTCAGACACCAAGGACACAGTCAGAGACACCAAGGACACAGTCAGAGACACCAAGGACAAGTCAGAAACACCAAGGACACAGTCAGAGACACCAAGGACACAGTCAGACACCAAGGACACAGTCAGACACCAAGGACATACTCAGAGACACCAAGGACACAGTCAGAGACACCAAGGACACAGTCGGAGACACCAAGGACAAGTCAGAGACACCAAGGACATACTCAGAGACACCAAGGACACAGTCAGAGACACCAAGGACACAGTCAGAGACACCAAGGACATACTCAGAGACACCAAGGACACAGTCAGAGACACCAAGGACACAGTCAGAGACACCAAGGACACAGTCAGAGACACCAAGGACACAGTCAGAGACACCAAGGACACAGTCAGAGACACCAAGGACAAGTCAGAGACACCAAGGACATACTCAGAGACACCAAGGACATACTCAGAGACACCAAGGACACAGTCAGAGACACCACGGACACAGTCAGAGACACCAAGGACACAGTCAGAGACACCAAGGACACAGTCAGACACCAAGGACACAGTCAGAGACACCAAGGACACAGTCAGAGACACCAAGGACACAGTCAGAGACACCAAGGACACAGTCAGAGACACCAAGGACACAGTCAGAGACACCAAGGACACAGTCAGAGACACCAAAGACACAGTCAGACACCAAGGACACAGTCAGAGACACCAAGGACACAGTCAGAGACACCAAGGACACAGTCAGACACCAAGGACACAGTCAGCCACCAAGGACACAGTCAGACACCAAGGACACAGGCATAGACACCAAGGACACAGTCAGAGACACCAAGGACACAGTCAGAGACACCAAGGACATACTCAGAGACACCAAGGACACAGTCAGAGACACCAAGGACACAGTCAGAGACACCAAGGACAAGTCAGAGACACCAAGGACATAGTCAGAGACACCAAGGACACAGTCAGAGACACCAAGGACACAGTCAGAGACACCAAGGACACAGTCAGAGACACCAAGGACACAGTCAGAGACACCAAGGACACAGTCAGAGACACCAAGGACAAGTCAGAGACACCAAGGACATACTCAGAGACACCAAGGACACACTCAGAGACACCAAGGACACAGTCAGAGACACCAAGGACACAGTCAGAGACACCAAGGACACAGTCAGAGACACCAAGGACACAGTCAGAGACACCAAGGACACAGTCAGAGACACCAAGGACACAGTCAGAGACACCAAGGACACAGTCAGAGACACCAAGGACACAGTCAGAGACACCAAGGACACAGTCAGAGACACCAAGGACACAGTCAGAGACACCAAGGACAAGTCAGAGACACCAAGGACAAGTCAGTCAGAAGGACACAGTCAGAGACACCAAGGACACAGTCAGAGACACCAAGGACAAGTCAGAGACACCAAGGACACAGTCAGAGACACCAAGGACACAGTCAGAGACACCAAGGACACAGTCAGAGACACCAAGGACACAGTCAGAGACACCAAGGACACAGTCAGAGACACCAAGGACACAGTCAGAGACACCAAGGACACAGTCAGAGACACCAAGGACACAGTCAGAGACACCAAGGACACAGTCAGAGACACCAAGGACACAGTCAGAGACACCAAGGACACAGTCAGAGACACCAAGGACACAGTCAGAGACACAGTCAGAGACACCAAGGACACAGTCAGAGACACCAAGGACACAGTCAGAGACACCAAGGACACAGTCAGAGACACCAAGGACACAGTCAGAGACACCAAGGACATACACAGAGACACCAAGGACACAGTCAGAGACACCAAGGACACAGTCAGAGACACCAAGGACATACTCAGAGACACCAAGGACACAGTCAGAGACACCAAGGACACAGTCAGAGACACCAAGGACAAGTCAGAGACACCAATGACATACTCAGAGACACCAAGGACATACTCAGAGACACCAAAGACACAGTCAGAGACACCAAGGACACAGTCAGAGACACCAAGGACACAGTCAGAGACACCAAGAACACAGTCAGAGACACCAAGGACACAGTCAGAGACACAGTCAGAGACACCAAGGACACAGTCAGAGACACCAAGGACACAGTCAGAGACACCAAGGACATACTCAGAGTCATCAAGGACACAGTCAGAGACACCAAGCTGGGGGCCGAGCGGACAGCACCCTGGACTTGTGATCTTGTGGTCCTGGGTTCGATCCCAGGCTCCGGCGAGAAACAATGGGCAGAGTTTCTTTCACCCTATGCCCCTGTTACTTAGCAGTAAAATAGGTACCTAGGTGTTAGTCAGCTGTCACGGGCTGCTTCCTGGGGGTGGAGGCCTGGTCGAGGGACCGGGCCGCGGGGACACTAAAAAGCCCCGAAATCATCTCAAGATAACCTCAAGATAACCAAGGACATACTCAGAGACATACAGAAATACTCTTCGGAACATCAAAGACATCTGAAAATTAATTTTGATGTCTTAGAATAACTTTTGATGACTGAGAATAACTTTTGAGAACATGAGTAGCATTTTGACGTCTTTGAGCGTATTATTAATGTCTTTGATCAAAGATCAAAGACATCAATAATACAAAGCCATCAAAAGTTAATCTCAGTCATCAAAGTTTTTTATTCTGTAAGATATCTCCGTTCATAAAAGTTATTCTCAGAGTCATCAGAGGAAATCTCTAACTCACCTTCGTTCATCAAATTTGTTCTCTAAGACACCTTCAGGCATAAAATATCTCACCAAAATGTAACCAGTTCAGCTTTTCATATGAAACTTGTACTTCTGTTAAAATATATTTTCTTAGTCACTTTATCTTAAAACTGTTCTCTGAACAACAATGCATCATCCATTCTAACTTACCTAACCTATGCTAACCTATACCTCCCCTACCTGATGTAACTTTCCTAATCAAACTTAACTAACCTATCCTAACCTAACCTTACTCTACCTTACCATACCCTAACTTTCCTTACCTTACCATACCCTAACTTTCCTTAACTTACAAAACTTAACTTACATAACCTAACTTAGCTATCATAACCTAACCTAACTTAACCTTACCCTACCTTACCTATCCTAACTTAATGTATCTTACCTAACCTAACCTATCCTAACTTAACATATTTTACCTAATCTAACTTAACTATCCTAACCTAGCCGAATGTAACTTGCTTAACCTAACCTAACTTAACGTAACTTACCTAACTTAACGTAACTTACCTAACCTAACCTAACTTAATTACCCTAATATAATCTATTCCTACCTAATCTATCCTAACTTAGCTATCCTAACCTAACCTAACTTAACTAACCTAACCTAACTTAACTTGCTTAACCTAACCTAACTTACCTAAGCTAACCTAACCTAACTTAACTAAACCTAACCTAACTTAATGTAACTTACCTAACCTAACTTAATATAACTTACCTAACCTAACCTAACTTTACTAACCTAACCTAACCTAACTTAACATAACCTAACTATCCTAACCTAACTTAATTAACCTAACCTATCCTAACTTAACTAACTTAACCTAATTTAACTAACCTAACCTAACTTAACTAACCTTGGTGGAAATTTCCAACACTAATACAATACTATTGTATTATAATAAATTAGTATTAAAATATACTAACTACTGTAGTTACTAAAACTTACTAACAGTAATGTTCACATGAACTAACTATTATATCTGCATATGGATACTGGAATTCTTACGAAACCAAGCACCAGTATTGCGTCAGATTATATCTAGTTAAACACATTTATAGCCAGTGTGTTAGAGAATTGAATGTGGTTCTCTAAAATCATCAGTATTCCGTGTGATAGTTATTTATGGATAACATAACTCCCAAAAAACTCTAAATCGAGAGTTTTTAGTTACAATTGTTATCAAGTAATAATTTTACCGTCACGCGTGAATGCCATAGAGAAAACTAAAATCTTCTCCATTTCTTGTTTACTATCATAAGACGAGAAAGTAATAATATTTAAATCCCTAGAATTACAATCCAGTCTTTATTAAAGTCTTTCAGCCACAATTACACAAAATAATATTATTCGTGATAAATAATTTCTGTGGCGAATGCGGGGACGCGGTTGAGGGAAAGGAGACGCCATTGTGTGTGTGAGTGGTGGACTTGTGTTGCGGAATTGAGCAACAAAAGTCGTGGCGTCAGAGTCTGAGACACGTGACGTTGAGATTATCAGCAAGAATTACACTGGTACTCAATCCAGAATGAATTATTATTGTTCTACGTGATCTGCAGTGCTCGGCCAACTAATAACGCGTCGACATTCAAGCCAAGCTATCAACCACGTGTACGACATTGTGGAAGTTTGAGCCTGGGACGCGATACCGGCAAGCTTCAGCATAATTTGCACCCTTAGATAAGTATATAGTTCTTTTTTGATGCATCATTAGAGATTGTATATGTCGGGGCAGCTTGTCGTTATATCGAACGACCACAACAAATCCAACGTTAGTACCACACTAAATTTAATTTATATTTCATGAATATTGAGATTTAAGTAGCCTAGTTCAATGCTACGTAATATCCCTTAAATTACAGCTCGTATGCGAGGAGTCAACGAGCTGTTACCTACCTTCGTGTTATTCACCTCTAAGGGTTTCTACGAGGAATTCCTGAGATCACGAGGACGAGGCGTGAATGATGTCATAGAAATCGTCCTTTTTGTACACATTTAATTACTCCAAATTTGGTTATTTGTTCATGAATCTATCTACTCGCATGCTTGTCATGTACACTGGAGATAATATGTGTTTATTTAGATGATTAATTTCTAATGCTAATAATATTTATAATTTCTGGTGATAATCTTCTATAGATTCTTCAATATTTTGGTCACAAGATTAGTTATTAAACAATGAACTGGTGCACGAACCACACTAGTTCCTAGACGTATATGAAGTTTTAGCAATACCCCCCCCCCCCAATGTAGGTGTTTGAGGCTTTGATTTAAGTTAATTAACTATACAGCCCATTAATTATTTAAGTGATTATGCTTCATAATATTTATCCATAGACACTGGTTCTTCCTTGTGTTTCTAAGGATCACTTTTTATTAGTTTCCCTCTTTTCTTAAAAGTGAGTGGTCCTTCGTAATTGATTTCATTAATTTAATAATTGAATAAATTGAGTCAAGCCCCAGATATCCCACATTATGGTCCTTTGAACCGGATAAACATAAATATAAATATATACATACTAATTAGTAATAACTAATCTCCGTGTGAAGTAGTCTAGACTAACCATTTTAATTAATTGTGTCTACCGGCAGCGTAACACGTAGGTTAGCCTAAGTCACACCAAGTCATTGCTACTTACACCTCATGTATAAGGTAGCACACGTGGGACACTGGCGAAAATTAGAACTTCATTCACAAACCTAAGTGAGGAGGCTTTTAGGGAGCTTTACACTGCCTACGTAAGACCAGTCTTAGAGTATGCAGCGCCATCATGGAGCCATCATCTAAAGAAACACATAAGGAAACTGGAGAAGGTTCAAAGGTTTGCGACGAGGCTTATCCCAGAGTTACGAGGGATGGGATATGAAGAACGTCTGAGGGAACTGAACCTTACGACGCTAGAGAAAAGAAGGGAGACAGGAGATATGATAGGGACATATAAAATACACAGGGGAATTGACAAAGTGGAAATAGATGAAATGTTCACAGGTAATAATAACAGAACGAGGGGACATGGGTGGAAACTGGAAACTCAGATGAGTCACAGAGATGTTAGGAAGTTTTCTTTTAGCGTGAGAGTAGTGGGAAAATGGAATGCACTTGGGGAACAAGTTGTGGAAGTAAACTCTATTCATACTTTTAAAATTAGGTATGATAGGGAAATGGGACAGGAGTCATTGCTGTAAACAACCGATGGCTGGAAATGTGGGATCCAAGAGTCAATGCTCGATCCTGCAAACACAAGCACAAATAGGTGAGTACACACACACACACACACACACACACACACACACACACACACACACACACACACACACACACACACACACACACACACACACACACACACACACACATACACACACACACAGGGGGAGTCATTTGCTGTAAACAACCGATAGCTGGAAAGGCGGGATCCAAGAGTCAATGCTCGGTCCTGCAAGCGCAAATAGGTGAGTACACACACACACACACACACACACACACACACACACACACACACACACACACACACACACACACACACACACACACACACACACACACACACACACACAGACAAAGCAGTAGGAAGTGATGTTGTGGAGGCTGACTTCATACATAGTTTAAAATGTCGATATGATAGAGTTCGAGAAGCTCAGGAACCTGTACACCAGTCGATTTACTGTTGATAGGCAAGACCAAGAGCCAAAGCTCAACCCCCACAAGTACAACTAGGTGAGCACGTGTGTGTTGGGGTGATGTATGTGTGTATGGGTATGTGTGGCCCTGGGTGTTGGGGCCTCAGAGTGTACAGCGCTCTGGGGGTCACCTAAGGGTAACCCGCCTCCAGTAATAGCTCCTTGGTATTTATTCTGTTGTTGATTGGTTCTTGCTTGGGTCTGAAGAGATACACAGTCTGACTTCTTGGGCTGTATTGGTTGAGGTAGAGAATATATAGCCAGCGCACCAGGGCCTGGAGGTCTTGCTCTCATCTAGGTCTGGGTGAGACTGGCGGCCAACATGGACAACCCGTTCTCACACTTTCATATAGTCAATAATGACTTCTTAAATACGTGCAATTACAATTATTACTTAACCTATTATAGGTATAGGTTAAGTAATAATTGTAATTACGAATCAATAAGATGCTTATCTTAACATACTAAGAAGGTTAGGTAAAGTTGGTGTTTTCTGTGAAGCTTTTCAAGGTAAACTAAAATATTCACAATAAATTAGTATGTCACATATGCACTTATTTAATAAGTCAATATTGACTGTAAGAAAGTGTGAGAACGGGTTGACATGGAAGGGGCAACTGTGCTGCTCTGAGGAATGACGTCATGAGTCTCACTGGCCACAGGATTGGTTATACACCAACCGACTTGGAATTTAAAGGCTAACAAGGGACCGGGTTCAATATCGTGCAGAGGCGGAAACAAA